TCCATGATTAAAGTCCCACTTCTTATATCTATTTTTGTATTTGTTGTGTAAGAAATGGACGACCCCAAAGTATCTCGAAATAAGTATTCGTTCGGTCGTTTTCCATGTCAATGACATAGAAATCTGGTGGGAATATAAACTCATTTACCTTAACCAAGACATCTTCCAATAGTCTTTCGAGATATATTATCGATCGATCCTCCAGCTGTATTGTTACTCTTGTATCATTCAAAGGCTCATTAGAAAGTAAGTTGTACACAGATGAAGGAATTATATAAATAGAAGCTCCTAAAGCACACATTACACGTTTAATTCGAACTTTAGTAATTTTGCAAGGTATAACAAATATACCTTGATCTTTTAACTTTGGTGGAAGCTTTCGTTGGAAAACAGCTGAAACAGGCTCTCCTAAATTCACCTTTTCTATTTTGGTAAGCCTTATTTTCGTGGTACAAAGGTCTTTAAGAAATCTAGCATACCTTGGTATTTTTCATATTACGTTTGGGAAGGATATGTTAATTTCAACCTTCCAGAATTTCCTTTTCTTCAGTTTTTTTGTCTCTTTTTACTAACCTTGAAGGAAAAGATGGTGGAGTTTTTTAGGGATATGGTGTCAGTTCAGGATTTGAAACTTCTTTATTCTTTATTTGGGGATTTGCGTCAATTCTATTTTTCTTAGGGGGATCTGCACCAACTACTTCTTCTTCTATTTGGGATTTCAGATCTTCTTCATTTCTTTGTGGGTTCGTGCCAACATCCTCTAAGACTGGTTGTTCGACAACTATACCACTTCAGATAGTGATGGCGCTTACATTCTCTCTTGGATTTGATTCCGTTTGAGAAGGTAACTTCCCTTGTGATTCTAATCTTCCCACAATTTGAGTCAGTTGGCTCATTTCTTGTAGATGGGCATCGGTTCGATTTTGGAACTTTTATGAGACAAGGCCAAACGTTCAACAATGGATTTGAGAGAGGACTTTTGTGGTTGAAACATTTGTGGGGGCCTTTGCTAATAGGCTTGATTTTCCTTGGGTTTTGTCCATAGCTCAGATTTGGATGGTCTATCCATCCCAGATTATAAGTATTGGAGTATGGGTTATAGAGTCTCTGGGGAGGTCCTGAAAAGTTCCCTACAACATTTTCTTATGCGTCAACTTCCTCCTGGAGCATTGGACAACAGTCTGTCAGATGATCTGGCATTGTGCATATTCCATATACTTTTGCTGATCCAATTTTTCCCGCAACCAAAGAATTAACTATTTCAGTTAATTTATCGATTTTGTTTTCTAAGGAAATAATACTTATCTCATGAACCCGTCGGTTGGGTTCACTTGAAGTGCTAAACTGCTGAGAGTTGGCAGTCATTGTCGAAATTAAATCCCTTAATGCAGCTGGTGTTTTGTTCACAAGAGCTCCTCCACTAGCAGCGTCTATAGTTTTCATCTCCATTGGAAGTAGCCCTTCATAGAAATATTGGAGGAGTGTTTGCTCGGATAATCCGTGTTGTGGACAGCTTGCACAAAGCTTCTTAAATCGCTCCCAGTAATCGTCAAGCGATTCTCCATCTTTTTGTCTTATTCCCAGAATGATTCTCCTTAATTCATTTGTTTTTGCTGTTAGGAAAAACCTATCAAGAAAAATCCGAGTTAAATTAGCCCATGTATTTATAGAATTGGGAGGTGAATAAAATATCCATTCTTTGGCTAAACCAAATAAAGAAAAAGGGAAAGCCCGTAGTTTCATTTGGTCTTCATATACACCCTGAGGTTTCATGCTTGAACAGACCATATGAAACTCTGTGAGATGTTTGTGTGGGCTTTCATTGGGAAGCCCATGGAATATAGGAAGAATATGAATAAGGCTTGTTTTCAGCGTAAACGGAGTTGCGCCTTGAGGAAAAGTGATGCAGAGAGGTTGTTGTACGGCAACTGTCGCATCTAACTGTTAAATCATCTGATTTGTAATTGGTTCTGGCGTGCTCTCTGCGCCTAGTGTATCTTCGGTTCTTCGTTTGTATCAAAAGTTGATGATCATTCCGAATTTAATTCTGGATCTGAATGCTCCAATTGTTCCTGTTGTTGTTTCCTTCTTTTTCTAGAAGCATTTTTGTATGAATTCGTCTGGCTCGAGCTTTGATTTCTGGATCAAATTCTACCAAATCACCTGGATTAGTTCTAGTCATAAATAAAAAAGAAACAACTTTATCAGTTACTTTAGCCGAAATCCCCAACAACGGCACCAATTTCGACAGGTGTCGTTTTACTGTCAAAATAATTTTGGCTTCTTAAAAATAAATAAATAAAGAGTAGCGTAGGGAAGTAGGGCTGGTTCACAGGGACTCTGGTGTTTCTAATGAAGTGAACTTTCTAATTTAGAAAATGATGAGATAAGGTAGACTTTTGGATGAGATTAAATAGGGGGTTATAAAAGTTGTTTTTAAAATAAAAGATAAGAATTAAATAAAAGAAAATAATTAAATAAATAATTTAAAGATATTGATATAAAGAGAAACTTATAGTAAAATTAGCCTTTGACTTCAGCTTTGCCTCAAATTTCTGTTGATCCTCGAAATAGATTTTTGCTTCGGTTATTTGTCGGTTACAGTCTATAGGTCCCAACTCTTATAACTTGTTTTTCTCTTTTGTGAACCGATAAACCAAAATCTATTTTGGATATTAGTCCTTTACGGAGACTAACTACGACTATTGTCGCTAACACTAACCTGTTTTATAGATCTGGAAAAACCCGACTCAGACTATGTCGCCTCAATGAGAATCTAACCCGATCTCAATTTCCCTTAGCAGACCGTCGCTAAGTGTGTTCAGAGGAAGTCAAACTTGCTACCAGTCGATTCTCCCTCCCAACTGTAATCAGAATAACTTTCAAACCAACGAGCTATTTTTTATTTGAAAAAGTTTTGATTTTAAAAAGATAGGTCGATTACCAATTTTATTCCTACAGAAAATTGAGAAAATAACTCGAAGTTATTTTAGTGCTTTTCAATCCTCACAATTGGGATTGAGTCATCGCTTCAGCCTTTGGCTATGGAAAAATTAGCTAAGTATGACAATCATACATAGCATCTTTGACAAATAAAATAAAACAAAGAACTTTGAAAAAGAAGAAAAAAACTTTTATTAAAAACTAGAGAAATAAGAAGAATGATTTCTGAATGTGTTTCTAGGCTTACCCTGAGAGAGTAATTATAGCCTTTAAAATTTTAAAAATAAGGAAAATATAATTCCTAATATAAAGAGATAAGTCCTAATGAAAATACTTAAACTATTTAAATTAAAATACTAAAAACAAAGATAAGATAAAATATAACTCTTAAAATATTTAAACTAAAATCCAAGAGATAAACATGGAATAAAAATAATCCTAAATATAATTCTCAATGTTTTATTCAAATTCAAACTTTAAATCTCCTAAGATATCTCTACCCGTCCACCTCTTAGAAGGTGTTGACTAGATCTTCTAGAAAATTGTTGTTGACTGAACCTTCTAGAAACGGTCACGTCAGACCGTGTCATGCCCAGAGTCGTGCCCATGTCTCCAACCATAACCAAATAATAAAAAAAAATACAGAATGTACCATTTTTACTGTTAATCCTGAAAAATAAGATCATGTACGAAAAATAAACATAATACAACCAAATCAACAACAATAAATCTACAAGATCAAAAAATTAACGAGCAAATATAATCGATTTAGAACACTCATCAGTGAGCTTGATCATAGAAGTCGGTGTCAACTATGTTTAGGGTTTCACAAAGAGGTGATTGTTGGCAAGTATGATTTTGAAAGGAAGGTGATAACTTTTCATATCAGCGCCCGAGGTACGATGGCTTCATTTACTTGATCTTCAATTTCATACATGTTTCTACTTCTTGAGATCCGTTTTCCTAATAAAATTAAATCCCTTTTTATATATATAAACTAGTTGTTTTTTTTTTGTTAAAGATGAATACAAAATATCATGAGGAATTTAAAATATAATTTTTACTAAGTTTATTTGTGAACTTTAAGATTTTTACTACTATATGTAGTCGTATTATGAACTGACTAAAGTCACTGTAATAAGTAAAATTATTTATATGCTTCAAAACATATATGTTTTTAAATAGATTTTTTATTTTATTTTATTTTTGAATTTTATGAAGAGAAAAATATAAGTATTTAGTCCCACGAGGGAATTAGTTTCAGAGTTTTGTCAAATAGTTAACAAAGGATGAGAGAAACGGATGACGAGGAGCAGTGCATGTAAGACTGAGCATAAGATGCTTGGCGACTAGAGTCGTTTCCCTAACACGTGTACCACGGAATCTCACTTTGCACTTTTGTCCTAATATAAGTACGCCGCCTTATGACCAACACGTGTGTCTCCCCATGTCATCTACGTTATATGAATATTTTTGCTTCTTGTAAACTCAGACATAGTTTATTCATATTTGAGTTTAAATATTTTAATTAATAAATATTATTTATTTATTTGAAGAAATATCTATTATTTATTTAAATATTGATATTTAAAAAAAAGTAGACAAAACATGTAGCTAACGAGAGTTGATGGAGAAAAGAAGAGGACGTCAGTTACAGTGAAAAGTCAGATTATTAAAAATAAGATGAAATTAAAATAAATTAAAATTAAGAATTCAGGTGAATAAATATTTCAATACATATTTTTAATACGATAAAATTTGAGAGGAGAATTACCCTTTATTTTATAACATAGATCCGACCGTGGTCAGGTAAATGGTTATGGAGTTGAAATGTAACTGTCCTATGAAGTTTTTACTCTTTTTTTTACTTTATTCTTATCTATATAAACCAGACCACCTTAGTCTCCCCAAGTGCTTCACCTTCTCCTACAACCATAATTATATTTTTGTTTTGTTTATCTCTTAGGTTTCTTTGATTCCCATATTTCTTGTATTGATAAATATTTTGTAGCTGCATTTGGTTTTGGATTATCTGTTCATTTGACATTCTCGGAAAAATGCTGAGAGATATCGTCAATCCAAATGTCTGCGATCCTGCAGAACAACAGGCCATCTCCAACTTCGACATTGTCCAGGCGCAGGCAGAGGCACAGGCTCAGGCTCAAGGTCAGGCTTTGGCTCTGGCTCAGGCTAGATATAATGAGGCCATTGATCAAGAAATCTATGGGTCCGATGAATTCCGGATGTACGGTTACAAGATCAAGCGCTGCACCAGGATGCGCAGCCACGACTGGATGGATTGTCCCTACGCGCACCGTGGCGAGAGGGCTCAAAGACGTGACCCTCGAAAGTATCCCTACGTCGCCATTATCTGCCCCGCCTTCCGCGACGGAATATGCCCAAAAGGCAACAACTGCAAGCTCGCTCACGGCGTGTTCGAGTACTGGCTTCACCCCGCCAGGTACCGCACCCGCCCATGCGAGGCAGGCAGGTTCTGCACACGTAAGGTGTGCTTCTTTGCTCACTCACTTGACCAGCTGAGGCCTGAGCCCAAATTAAACTCTCCAAATTCAGCAAGCAAAGGAAAGATGCTGATGATGGACGCCACCACCGAACATTACCGGCTGATGATGGCGGAGGGGTCTCCATCGAGCAGCAGCGGAGAAACTTCCAGGCCAATGCAGGCAAATCATGTTGTACCTTCAACACCAAAACTGGAAGGGCTCTCGACTTTGCTCGAGAGTTTAAGGACATTGAAGCTGAGAGAAGATGAGGCAAGGCGACTGAACAACAACAACAACAGCATCTTTGGAGGTGGGGTTGGGGTGGCTGATTCGGATTTGCAATATCTGGACTGGATTGCGGACCTGCTGAAATAAACGCCATGCAAGGCTTTAGGCATAAAGCTGATGTAAATATCTATGTCTGTCTGTATGTATGTGTAGAGTATGAGAGTAAATAAGGAGAGAGGGAGTGTTTAATTAATGTATGTAAGGAATTCGTAATGTTTATGTAATACATGTTCGTGTTCGAGTTTCCTTTTAAGTTGAAATCAGTTTCATCCTCACTTTAGTTTGTTTTGTTTTTGTTAAGTGTTTACTTAATTACTTTTAGTGTCTGCTCTTGTTTTGGATAAGTATTCGCGTAATTACTTTTGATGTATAAAAATGTCATAAATAGGAATCCATTTAACTAGTGCTACAATCATTAGCTAATCATATTAATTTTCTGATTAATTCCCCAAGTAATTTAATTGATAGCAGATTACTTTACAAAAAAAACAAAACAAAACGACTAAAATAAGAAATCAAGATTCTAAAAAGTAATCTTCTGAAAAGTTTGGCACATGCAGGGGAGTATTCGCCGGTCACGACAGTGCCCCAGGCGGCGGAAGATTCAATAGCAAGTGGTGGTGACAACAAGAGAGTAAGATCAACGGGAGAAGAGGTAGCTACAGAAGAAAGAATATGGACTAAATCCTGGAGCGATACGGTGGCCGACTCACCTTTCTTTACTGGCATGTTCAATAGTTCAAGCAGATTCGAGGATGAAGATTTCGAAAGTTTTAAAGCAAAAGATTAGGAAACCATGGGAGAAAGCCCTGATTGTAAAACTCATGGGAAAGACTATAGCATACAAAACATTTCATAACAAAATTACAACAATGTAGAATCTCGAAAGTGGTGTCCCACACGGGTTCTATGCGGTGAAATTTCAAAGCATGAAAGACAGAAGTAAAGTCTTGACAGAAGGTCCCTGGAAAATCATGGACCATTACTTGACAGTTCAGAAGTGGAAATCAAATTTTATAGCTGAAGAAGCATTGATTCCATCAACAGCAGTCTGGATTCATATTCCAGGGCTTCCTATCGAGTACTTTGATGAAGGGGTTCTTGTCAATATAGGTAAACTTGTAGGGAATCCTTTGAAAGTCGACTATAGAACAGCTTGGGCTACAAGGGGTAAGTTCGCAAGAATTTTTGCTGAAATAGATTTGAATAAACCCCTCCTTGCTAAGGTAAGTGTTGGAAAGATTGTTCTAAACATTGAGTATGAAGGAATTCATTCAAATATGCTTCCGCTGTGGAATTGTCGGCCATAGAATGGAGTCTTGTCCACTGCAACATTTGAAAAATCAGCAGAAAGAGGAAAGAAATGACCTGCATATTAATTGTGTTAATCAAGAAAGTCGATATCATGTTCAACAAAAATAAAGAATTCCAGAAAATTCAAATGAGGGAGACTTTGGCCCCTGGATGTTGGTCCAAAGAAGATAGAAAAATAATCGTGTTAATACGAACCTCCTGACAATGCTAAATAAGTTCAACAAGGAAATCGTTTTGAGATGTTAAGGAAACTCAGAATGAAGACGAACAGGGTATGAATAGGGAAGAACTCCCAACAGAAGAAAATTCAGAGCAACATCGAACAGAAACTACTGTGAGAAGAGTTAGCCAAAAGTCTAAACATGAAATTTTGACAAAGAATAGCAAGGCGGATACGAATTCGGGAGAGATGGTTAGAAAAAAATCAAAATTATCCCAACAGAAATTCTGGTAAAAGAGAACTGAAGATAAGAGGAAAATACCCGGGGAAAAACCAATAGACATAAATGCTAATAGTATGGAGATAGAACAGCATGTTACGGATAACTTTAGTATTCAGTCGAAACACATTCAAAACAACACACTGGAAGGATGTTCCAAAGATCAGGATGTTGTCGAAATGGAAGACAGGACTGTTAAGCTGCAAAAGAGAAGATTACTCCCGAGTACCAAGGGAACCAAATAAACAAACAAAACCAATTACGAAGATTACTCCCGAGGACTGTTAAGCCGGGACCTCTGATAAAGAGATTCTTAAGGTGTTTCTGGTGCTAATTCCAAAGACTGAAGCAGCAAACAGTCTAACTCAATTTAGGCCTATTAGTCTCTTCAATAGGGTGTATAAAGTTCTGGCAAAAGTGGTAACTTTTCAAAACAGTTTTCTACCTGGAAGGCGAACTTCAGATAATATTTTGATTGTTCAAGAGGCGGTATCTACTTTAATGAATCTTAAAGGGAACAAAGGGGCTGCTATTATTAAGATGGATCTTCAGAAAGCGTACGATGAAGTCAGCTGGAGTTTTCTTCAAAAGGCTTTAACCGATTTCAATTTCCCCCCGAAGAAATGATCAATACAATTATGTTCTGTATCGAAAATAGCAGCATCAATTACTTATGGAACGGAGAGATAACATAATTTTTCGAGCCAGGCCAAGGATTAAGATAGAGAGTGTAACCCCTCAGACCGATGCGCGTAATCCGATCTGATCTGGAGTGTCACATTAGGGCTACCGGAGCGACCCACCGTAAAAATAACGGAAAATTGAAAATTTTTATTAAAACATGTAAACTCATAAAATCATTTATCAGTATTAAAAAATAAAACAGGTGTTCAGACTCAGATATAGAACAAAATACAATCTACATGCCCCCAATCACAAGTATCATACTCTGCAAGCAATACCGAAAGAAAAACTCCCCTACTAAAGTCGATAGATGCACTGATACGATTCTTTTAACCTGCAAAGATGAGTAATAGAGTGAGATTTGGAAAGCTCAGTAATACACTACTACCAGTTGATGCTACATGTCATGTGGCTAAATGGAAAACCATATAATTTCATTATTGAATCTGACGTATATAGGATTTTAGGATAATCTGTGGTTCTACTAGTAGTTCATCGAGTAAAAGTCATGAAGATCTCAGTTCATAGGAAGCATTCATAGTATCACATTTTCATGAGGTCGAATAGGATGTGTTCCAATCAAAATCAGTGAAAATATATAAATCTTTTAAAACCATAGCGGAACCCCCAACCAAACTCCATTATGCAGCTCCCCAGAACTGCGTCCGTAGGGTTTACCCTAAGCATAAAGCAAAAGGAAGTCAACCTAAGGATATTCCTTGGGGCCTATGGGCCTACCTAAGGGTATTTCTTAGGTCTGTAGGGTTACCCTAAGAAGACTACAAAGGGAACCAATCTAAGGATATACCTTGGGGCCTATGGGCCTACCTAAGGGTATCCTTAGGTCCGTAAGGTCTTACCGTTGGATCAGAGCTGTGCCTCCATACTTCAGAATCCTATCCATATAAAAATCTAGTAGAAATCAGTTTTAGCCGTAAATCGTAATACCTGGATCGTGATCCAGTAATATGTCATAACCGTGATAATGAAATAAATCGTATAAATGATTTCCACCTGTACACCATAAGTAGTCCAATGATTAACCCAAAGGAATGCCTTGGGGCCTGAGAGCTTACCCAAGGATCACCTTAGGTCCGTAAGAAATTACCAGCTTGATCAGAATTGTACCTCCAATCTACCCATATAATATCCCAATAAAATAGTTCGAGTATAACCAGTGAAACATAAAACCATGGTTCATAAACCAGTAGTTTTCATGATTCCATAAATCAGGAAAAATTTATATTTTCAGTGAAAACCATAATCGAATATCACATACTATGTTGTCATGGTTCATAAACCAGTAAATCAATACTTTATTTAAAACTCATTTCAAAACATATAAAACCGTCATGTAATACATGTGGAACACACTAGAGAATCCGAGTATTTTTCAGATGCACTTGGTAGTCATCAGTATGGATAACATGAAACTTATACAATTTGATCGGATACCAGGAACAACGTCCTATTGAAGAGAATCAATTGCTAATCGATCTAATCAGGCATTTAAGGTTGATACTTTAGAATCCCACTATGATTCATGTACATTAAGAAAGTGTTCAGGAACCTTTATACAGAATAATTCTATATTCAGATTTACTGAGAGTGATTCCATTACCCAACAGTCAGGTGTATTCAAGATTAGGCATTGAATTAACCGGATTTTAGTCCAATTGAACCAAATGGGTATTCATAATCCTTTGCATATGAGTTACTTGTGTTTTCATATATGATCATAGTGATTTGAGTTGATAAGGGAGAAACAAAGATTTAGGGCACTTATAATTTGTGTCGATCTATCGGATTATTGAACAACTCGAGCTGAACAACTCCCAAAACGGATGCTTGTCAAATGGTCAATTCATTGTCCTTCCAGGGTATTCACTCTTTAATACTAACAATTTTTGTCCATAGATCATCTTTAGAATCATCGTTGAATATATCTTAAGAAGACGAACATATATTTCATAGGTCTTTATTTCATTTGCACGTTTCAACAGTATTAGGAAATGTCGACTTACTTGATTTATGGTTCATAACCCATAGGGATGATATATCATGTAAGTTCATCAGAGTTTCCAGACTTATCAAAATCATTTACTTAATCCTCAATCATTGAGGTTGCTAAGTTCATTTCAGAGCTGTGGTATTAGAAATTCCAGGGTTTAGAGGTACTTTAGGCCATTTTACACTTTAGGGGCATTTTGGTCATTTTACACTTTAGGGGTATTTCTATAATTCCAATATAGATCCGAAATTTAATTCGATGATTCCAAGGTTCCCGTGAATCAAGGTATGAGTTCTCAGGTCATCTCTATTATCATAGTCATCCATATTTTGTTTTACTCTTTAAGGGTATTATCGTAATTTTATTCAATTCCGAAAGTGGCATTACTTCGGTAAATTATGCTTGAAAGTATTCCAATTCCATTAAAGAATAGAGTACTTTGCTCATTTCCTCACTGGAGGCTAATTTTGCCACTAAGGAAAGTCTTGGCCCTTTTTTTCAGTAAAGGGTAATTTTATAATTTATCCATAGCGCTCCTTTCGGTAATTTCATATCCAAATATTTCCTACATTTAATCCTTAATGAGATTAGTCAGAAATTACACTTTCTGAGATGGATTGATTCACTGATTTATTCAT